AATCCGAAGGGTTGTCGTTATAAGATCTAATCGGGCATTCCTCTACCATGTGTTTTACTGTTTGCCTTTCGGCGCCGCAGTCGCAATTTGGTGATTGTATTTAACCCCATCTAAAAAGTGAGTCGGAACATCTGACACAGTTTCGTCCTTATTCTATTGAGTGTGGTCCAAATTCGTCTCGGTTGGTTGAAGCCCTTAGGTTTGCTTGTAATACATGGCATGTTCCAGTTAGCTGGTGCAGCGTTATTCTTCCATTGTTCTCACCACCGTTCAGTTACATTAAAGTTTTGATCTACTAGCCTTTTTGCTGTTTTGCTTAGAGGCGGGTGTCTTAAACGGAGCCTATTTATGTCTCTGGCGGATGTTCCGGCATGAGAGCGGAGCTCAGGATCAGTATTGATTTTTGTAAATTCTCTGACAAGGGCATGTTCCCGGCGGATGGGTGGTGGAGCTATATGACTCAAAGCTGGTAACCAGTAAGTGGGCGTGGCCTTGATTGTGCCCGATATAGTTCGCATGGCTTGGTTGAGTTGGACATTAACACGGTGAGTATGTGGACTGTTTATCCATACTGGTGCACAGTATTCCGCTACGGGGTATACCAGTCCTAATGCTGTCGATCTAAGTGTGGGTGCTGAGAAGCTCCATGTAGTGCCGCAGAGCTTTTGCAGGGTGTTGTTGCGAGTTCGGAGTTTTGCAGCAGTCTTCGTAAGATGCTCTTTAAAGTTTAGCGTTTTGTCAAGTGTAACACCTAAGTATTGTGGGTGTTTAGTTAGGTTAAGTTAGTTAAGGAGTCTATCCTCAAAATGGATTTGAGGTTGATAGTTGGCCATCTTGTTGTTCAAATGGAAGCAGGACACTTCTGTCTTAGTTGGTTTGGGTTGCAATCTCCATTTGCATAAATAATTCCCTAGGGCATTTAAATCGTATGTTAGAATGCGTTCAGTGACCTCGAATTCTTTATGACTTGCGGCAAGCGCCCAGTCGTCTGCGTATCCAAACTTTTTTGATGTGGTTTCTGGCGTGTCTGCTATGTAGAGGCTGAAAAGTATGGGAGCCAGCACGGATACTTGTGGAAGTCCATTATTCAGTTTTCTTTGGGTACTAGTCTTGTCTCCCAATATAACTTTAAAACATCTGTTGGATAGCATGGCGTTAATAACCTCAGTGGTCTTTCTGCATGGGATTATTCGCATTAATTTATATATTGTCCCTTGTCGCCACACAGTGTCGTAAGCAGCAGATAGATCAATGAAGACAGCGGTTGTTTTTAATTGCTTTTGAAAGTTTGATTCCACATAATTGGTCAGGGCGAGTACCTGGTCTGTGCAGCTGCGGTTTGGCCGAAATCCTGCCTGTTCCACTGGTAAGTGTTGGAATATGGTTTTGCTGATTCTATTATACAACAGTATTTCGAACAATTTGTACACCATACTTAAGAGTGCGATGGGGCGGTAGTTTTTCGGTGAATTATTACTTTTCCCTGGTTTTAAAATGGCAACGATTTTTGCATTTTTGAGTTGGTGGGGGACGTTTCCCGTTTGAAGGATGTCAGAAAAGGATTGTGCGAGCCATTGCCTAGTGAATCTGCCGCTATGTTTGAGGAACTCAGTGTGAATGGCGTCCAAACCCGGCGCTTTTCCTTTTTTCATTTCATTTTGGGCTTGCGATATTTCTTCATGCGTAAATGGGTTGGAACATTCTGTTGAGTGTGCAAGACTAGATTTTATGGTTTTGAGGTCTTTTTTAACTTTAATTGTGTGTAAACGATTTTGAGGTGCCCTAGAGGTTGACACTATGTGCGTAGCTATTTGGTCTGGAGTTACTAGGTTGGTTTGGCGAACGGGTGGGTTGCTACTTCCGAGTTTCCGTAGTAGGGACCAAGCTTGTCGGCTTGACTTCTGAAAGTCTAGGTTTTCTACTGTTTGGGTCCATTTTTCACGCCTGGCAGCATCAATGCTGTGGAGTAGTTCGTCTGCAATCTCCTCTGCTTTCCATCTTCGCAATATTCTTCATACAGTTTTCCGCTCTGTTCTGTCCAACCCGGGATATATTCTTTGCGGTAACCTCTAGGGATTGTCGCTTTTGCTAAGGTGATTATTGCTCCTGTTAGTCTCCCCTAGTTCTGGCTCTTTGGTGGAATCCATCCTAGGCATTTGTCAAGGTTACTGGTGAAAGCAGACCAGTTAGCTTCTTGAAGTTCCATCTGGGCGTGGGAACGATCTTATAATCGAAATGCTGATACCGATATTGATTAGGACGGGGCGATGTTGACTATGTGGAAAGTCACGCATAACCCTTCGTGATGCTGCTAGCGGTTGGCCTTTGTTGTCAATGGTAACAAAACAGAGATCAGGGTTATATTCTCTCCTCCAGGCCGCAGATCTGAAAGTGCCTCTATTTTTGGCGTCGAATAGAATGTGGGCACCATGTTCCTCTGCCCATTCCACAAGGGACGTGCCATTTCAGTCAGTGTCTGAGTATTTCCACATCTCATGGTGGCTGTGGAAATCCTCTACGTATATGGCTGGGTGTTCATAAGGATTAAGAACTTGGACAGGCCAGCAGGAGGTTTGTATATGTTAGCTATTATGACATTGCCTATTTTCACAGTTACCTCGTGGATGTTGTTCTTGGTAGAAGTGGCGATTAAGCTACATTTTCTATGTTTGAACGGACATATGTTGCCATTCCGTAAGCTCTATCGTAGGTAGCGCCCAAAAGATCATAGCCGGGGATTTTTCCTCTTGAGCTTAGTTGACCTTTGTTTTCTGTGTGCGTTTCCTGAAGTGCTACTACGTCAACTTCGTTATCTTTTAAAAGTCTGTGACGTTTTGCCCTGCTTATGCCTTCTATGTTAAAATGGCAAACGCGTATGCTTGGTCCGAGTTCTTTGGTCAAATGGTCCTGATAAGGTCCGTTTACAAGTGTCATTTCTGGAAAGATTTTCTGTGATATTTGAATTGCCAGGAGATTCAAGATTGTCTGGCGCCTTTTGTGCTAGTTCATTTAGCGTTACCCAGGGTGCACGTGTAGTGTTCTACTACGCACGCGAACTAGCTTGCCCGTAAAACCACCGTCAAAGGGGGGTAAAAACACAAAAAATTGATTTACCAAGAATCTGTATGCCGTATGAAAAAATATTTCTAATAAAAAATGTAGCTGGGATAATTTCGAACAAAAATGTTTATTAGCACTTTTTGTGTTGAAGCGATCGGTGATATCAGTTACACGCGAAAAATCAATGTTCAAAAATATTTGTATCAGCTCGACGGTAAAAATTCGATATCTTTTGATCAGTGTCCCTTATCGACAAAAATCAAGATGCATTTTAAATGCATTTTCGTATACAATTTTTGTATTTTGTCGCAAATGAGTTCAGTTCTTATAAACGTAGTGCGATTTTTGCATTTTTTATGATTTTATTGAGATTAATATAATTTATGACTTTCATTGACCGGCCACTATGGAGTTTCCATTACTAGAGTCTAATCTTCGAAACCTATAGCATGAAATTTTAGTTGTGATTTTTTACAACAAATGTGAGACATTTTAAATATGCTTAAAAACGCTGAATTTAAACTTTCACCTTACAAACGATCTAAAACATTTAAAACTCCTCTTTTTTAATTACATTAGTACCTTTATCAAAAATACCCAATTTCTGTTTTTGATTGCATCCAAAACCGTCTTCTTCGAGGCATTTTCCGTGACGTGCGATTGTTTGTAATGTATAAGTTTAAATTCTGCGTTTTTTAGTCATATTTCAAATGTCATATTTGTTGCCAAAACTTAAGATCGAAATTTCATGTCTTAGGTTTTGAAGATAGGTCTCTACCAATGGAAATTTCACTACGATCGGTCAATGAAAGTGATACATTTTATTGATCTGGATAGAATTGAAAAACATGGCAAAAATCACGCAACGTTTATTTATTGAACAGATTTATAAAAACTGACGTTCAAATTCGTCTGTCACTTCAAGCGTTATCTCTGAGAGAACGGTTTATTCTACATAAAAAGTGCTAATAAACTTTGTTTAAAATTATCTCAGCTATATTTTTTATTTGAAACATTTTTTTCTACGGCGTACAGATATAAATAAACATTCTTGATAAATCGATTTTTTTTTTCGTTTTAGTCTCCTACGACGGGGTGTTTAGGGTAAAGCCCGGTGGTAAATTTTTTTGCATCTTTTTGGGATCTCAAAATTGATATTCTAGGCAAAATTCAGCTTGTTCGTATGATTTTTAGGGGTCAAATCTCTGACGACTGGACTATTGGAAACATAGAAATAAAAACCAAATGCTCATAATGATATTCATTGACCTTGAGAAAGTACAAGTACTAGAAGTTTTCGTGCGGACAGTAAACGATAAAGAAGGTCCCAGAAAAATCCTGAAAGATACGTATGAAACTATGAAATAATCGATTTCATGTGATCGTTAGATTCCTATTTTGTAAAATATGCTAGGCAAAATAAATGCAAATAGGCATATTTTAGGATTTTTTGGATTGTAAGATACACACAGAGAATCGGACAAGGTCTCAAAAAATATCATACCTACTAATAGAGACTTGTGTACTAATGATCTGAAAATGTCAAATGATCTAAGTATAGCAAATGGATTGGTGGTTAATGGTAAGACTCGTCTAGTGTAGAATCACAAAAGCGCGCTAATAAGACTTAAAAAAATATGCTTAAAGAAATCATTTAAGCATGTATCTTTCACTGCGGCCCAATTGTTTTAATAGCACTGTTGACACTAAAACTCTCTGTGATTAGAATAATCACATATCTCTATAGAATTTGGTAATATTACAGACGGTAACAATAAATCTAGTAGCACAGGATTGGTTAGTGTGGCTTGTTAAAGGTTTAAAATCAAATATTTACACACAAAATAATTTTTTTAGTACAAAAGTTTTAGTTTTAATACACATTTCACTAAGTGACTTGGACAATGATAACGATGTAATTAATATAAAACAATATTTACCTTCGTCCTTCCATTGATATTATATCTTGATAAATGTCCAGTTTTATCCATTTTGTTAGCTCTAGTGATCACAGAATCTACTTTACTAACAAGGTGTCCTATATTTGGGCAATTGGGTTCCTTACCATGCACCCAACAGATCTGGTCACTTCTTATAGTTTTACTGTCTTCGCCCGAACCTTTAGATGATACCAACTGTCCGTCTCTGAACACACCTTGATTTCCCATGTTTAACACTTCAGCCAAGACATTCTTACCTCTTTCAGCACCAAGAAAATTATCTAAAAACAAAAACATTCCTAAGAACTAAATAATGTACACCACCTAACAAAAAACTCTTAAAAGTGATGTGGCCTTTACTTAAGCTTAAAACTTCATTACCATACCAAGAGAAAATAAATGCCAACTTAATTGTAAGTTTACTATTGAAAAAAATTACATAGACCTATGTTAATACAAGATTTAACTTAGTCTAACTGACAACAAGGATTAAGTACATTCTATTTTTTAACTCTAGAGAGGTTACTCGCTGGAGTTACTCTCTACATGTCTGCATTTTTTACCATACCAAATGCTTAATGCCCAATGGGCAAATAGTTGTACTCAATGGAGTTTAATAAAAAAAAAATTAACTTAATTCAAGCTGTCTTCAGAAGTGCCGCGGAACTATATAATAGTTAATGGATATATACTATAAGCCAAATACCAAAAACCTATAGTATCAGGTCAGTTTAATCAGTGATCTCGAGGTGTCAGCCTTGATCAATTAGTTAGCGTAAGTAATTCTTTGAACTTTGAGTGAAAATAGGATGTTGATTTACACCAAGCTTAAACTCTAAGCAAAATGAAGAAATTAAAGACTAAATACAAGAAACGAAGTATGTCTAGTATATGGATGCTGTAGTCCAAGTCCAAGCTGATTGTTATACTTGATGGCTCATTAAAGTGTAGTTACGTCACATATTTTATGTAGATTAAACAAATTTTCTATGTGTGAATCATCTACAATATGCATATTTTGTTGTAATTTTGTTCTTTTTCTAAAATCTGTACATTTTCAAAATCAAAAGAATGGCTATTTTCTAGAGAATGTTTGGCTACGGCTGTTGTGTTTAATGCATTGGCTTCTACACTATGTTTGTGTGCAACAACTCTTCTATGTAGGTATTGGTATGTTTGCCCAATATATGTTGAATTACAGTCTTTACAATTTATTTTATCAATAATGTTTGATTGATGGTCTTTATTAACTTTAGGTTTATATTTTGAAAATTATTTTCCAGATGTTTTTGATGATTTATGTCCAACATTAATATACCAAGTCTGGCCTAGATATTAACCTCGCGAAAACAGAGTACCTATCTTCAAGTGAAGAAGACATAGAAGATCTACAGATTGATGACAACGTACCAATCAAAGGAAAGGACAAATTCAAATACTTAAGGTTTATAATCACGAAAAAGGCAACAACAGAGGAAGAAATTACACAAAGATTAGGACAAACAAGAACAGCAATCCGACAACTTAACTCAGTATGGTGGGATAGACACCTAAATATGAAGAGAAAAACACAGATTTATAAAACATTAGTGCGAAGTATTATGACAAATGGGGATGAAAATTGGATTATAAACAAGAAAAACAGCAGTAAGATAGTAGCAACCGAGATGGAATGCCTGCGAAGATGCTGCAGAGTAACAAGAATGGATAGGAGAAGTAATGACGAAATAAAGCAAAGAACATCAATAGAAACAGGCATACTAACATAGTAAAACAAAAACGACTACAGTGGTATGGACATGTAAGAAGAACTAGCGACAGCAGATAGATAAAGATAATAACTGAATGGAGCCCCATAGGAAGGAGGAAAAGAGGACGACCCCAAAGATCCTGGAGGAAGGAAGTAGACGACGCAATGAGTAAGAGAGGCCTAAACGATGGAGAGTGGGACAACAGAAAGATGGAGACGGTTGAGCGAGGGAAGGCAGTGAATACTGTAGAATACCTGAATATATATATAGAATAACCATCCTCGAATCTCGAATCGGTATCAATAAAGTATTATGAATCATTTCGGCCTATCCCAGCCTCATCAGACACTTGGACTGATACAAATTCAAACTCGGAAAGTCCAACGAATGTCTGCCAAAACTTCACTACAAAAGTAGTTAGAGCACAGAGGCGCCACCTGCTTTGGCGGCCGTGAACGAGAATGATATAATAATATCATTTTCTGCGTCCTCTGGGCTATGCGAAATGTGTAAAAGAATAAATCTTTTAGGAAAAGCTGCTATCGCTTTGATGAATTAAAAGGCCAAATATATGACCTAGGACGACAAATTCGTTACACAGTCGTTTTACACATTTCGAATAGCCCAGAGGACACAGAAAATGATATTATTATATCATTCTCGTTCACGGCCGCCAAAGGTGGCGCCTCTGTGCTCTAACTACTATTGTAGTGAAGTTTTGGGAGACATTCGTTGGACTTTCCGAGTTTGAATTTGTATTAGCCCAAGTGTCTGATGAGGCTGGGATAGGCCGAAATGATTCATAATACTTTATTGATACCGATTCGAGCACGGGAAGTTTAATGAATTTGTCTCCCTAGGCCATATATTTGGCCTTTTAATTCATCAAAGCAATAGCAGATTTATTCTTTTACACACACACACACTCATATTTAATATATATATTTATATATATATATATATATATATATATATATATAATTCTTTGGTAGGTCACTTTCATGAAAGCGTCAGATCAAGGATCGGCTAGAGATGGTATAAGCCAGTTTGGTGTAGAACTTTATTCTAAATGTGAACTTTTCGGTGATAGGCTGTCACCTTCATCTGTGTATAATATATTAATATTATACTTTTGACATTTGTTTAGAAAATCCATTAATTTATGTAAGGATATATAGTATTTACTTGAGTTAGTAACAATATTATTATTATTATTGCTAGGTATAGTTTGGGTTCGTTTTACTTTAGTATTGGTATCGATTTCTGATAATATATTTTTTTAATTAGGGGGCTGTAAAATTATGGTGGATAATTATTTTTTCTAAAATATCTTTAACTTTTCTCAAATTTGCGGAATGGTAGTACTGTGGACCAGATAGTTCAATTGCTCTGTCAGTAAGATTGAACACAACACCTCTCTTATGGGCTATGGGTGCGTTGGTATTAAAATTTAGATATCTTCCGGACCAAACATCTTTTGTAAACCAGTTAGTTGTTATCAATCAGTTGGTGTTGTTATATTCTAAACTTTAATCAAGAAAAGTAATTTTATTGTTTTCTTCTAGTTCATAAGTAAATTGAATGATATTATGGAAATTATTGAACATTTGAAAAGTATGAACGATTTCATGATCCGGGATGCAGAGTAAGCAGTCATCAACATATCGTTTGTAGAAATGTATGTTGTACTTCAATTTAGAGATGACTGTTGTTTCTAATATATCCATTACTAAGTTTGCCATTGGTACTGAGATAGGCGAACACATGGCCACTCCAGAAATCTGAATTTTCATGTTGGAAGAACGTTGATTAAGGCAGAATTACTAGAGGGTGTAAAATTCTCGTACAGGTTTTGACTTAGAAAATGTTCCATTTTTTTAATTAACTGCAAATGATCCAAACGTTTGATGATTCGGAATTCGACGTTCTGGAAATCTAATTAATTAAAATAATTTAATCATACACTACCTCAAAAACTAATGAACTTAGTTTAGCCTCCTAAGATTCAAGAAAACCAAGTTTTCACATTAATAAAAATGGTGCAAATGTAATATGAAAATTACGGCATCAATATTCCTTGTTTACTTTTTTTTAATTTAGTATTATTTATGTTGTATTCATTTATAAATAACACTCACACTATTTTCTAATAGTGGAATGAATAGTGGTAATAGTGGTCAATAGTGGCTACATACTGTACTTAGACCCACGTGGTCAAAAGCGACTTTGATAATTGTCCGAAAATGAACTCTATTAGCAATAATAATATGCTTAAACATTTGGAGCCTTCATTTTTAGCCACATTTTCTCCACGTGCTTGCAGCATGATTTGTAAAAAGAGTGTCCTATTACTTATTAGCCACTTATTTGTTTATGAACAATTGAGGCATGTACGTGACTTAAGTCGATTTATATCAGTTGAAGAAAGAACAGTTGTTTTAAAGACAAATATCAAGTTTCAGTGTTTTGTTTGTTATCCGGGGTCATTTACACACATCAAATAAAGTAAGTATTAACAAAATATTAAAAGTAGACACTTTGCTTTCTCAGTTAAAAGAAATCAAAATATATTTTTTCTTCCTAAGATTTATGATTTATGTGCATGATTATTAATTTTTTGTAACCTGTATTTACTGTAGTTTTAAGTGTAAGCAACTGTAGTGTCTCTAGTGGTTATCCTATTTGAGTTTTACATAAAAAATGTAAATTTTTTGTTTCCGCTTTCGAATGGCAAGCCATGGGATAGCCGGATAGCCATAGGGTAGCGTCATTTTCAGTAATTTCGTCAAATTTATAATGTACTGTACTGTAACTTTCTAATGTTGGCTTTTTTGCAGGGTGACAAAAAGATCATACTTTCATCGAGATCTTGAAAATATGAACACAGAATACTTCAATATCTTGTTTGAAATCGACGACCAGCATGCAGTAAATTCTGATTTTCGGGGAGATAGTGATGCTGAAGATGTCCGACAGTTTTCTGCAAAGGTAAGAACGTCAACAAGAAATAATTCTATAGATATAGGTACTCGATTGTGACAGTGTTGACTCAATTCAAGATCCTGAATATGAACCTATACTTAATTAGAAATCCTGGAATAACCGAAGCAGATGTAGAAAATAAAACAGAAAGTGCAACTGAAGAAGAGAGAGAAGAACTAATTCAAACTTTTTCTTTTACCAAACAAGAAGCAAACCTTAGATTTGATCCTTTTACATATGAACGTCCATTTGGTCCGAAGATACCGGTAGATGTGTCATCTCTCCAATAGTAATATTCTTGACAACTTTGAAAGTTTTTAGAAAAATTAGTAGAAGAATCAAGTTATACGCACATCAGATTGGTATTCAGCTAAATATTAGCGTTGAAGAACTCAAAGCGTTCTTGTGAATACTGATTATTACGGGGACATAAGTACCACATTATTATGGAGAATTACCATCAGTATATTGGTCTTCTAATGAAAATTTCTCAGTTTCCAAAATTGCAAAAATTATGCCTCTTAGAAGATTCCTTCAGATACTAAGAT